ACTTGGAACATATGAAAATTTTTACAATAATCACAATTTTTATTATGTAATAAAAAATATATATGTTTTAAACAATAAATAACTCTTTTTAAATGTATTTTGTGGCCCTGAAAAGGGCCTTTTGTAATAGGAAAAAGAATTAAACGGCAATTTAAGTAAATTAAATTTACTTGGAACTGGTATATTTGGTGACAGCCTTGGTACCCTCACTGACGGCATGCTTAGCCAATTCACCGGGCAACAATAGACGAACGGCAGTTTGAATTTCCCGACTGGTGATGGTCGAACGTTTATTGTATTGAGCCAAACGAGATGCTTCAGCGGCAATACGTTCAAAAATATCATTAACAAAACTGTTCATGATACTCATGGCCTTTGATGAAATACCAGTATCAGGATGTACTTGCTTCAATACTTTGTAAATGTAGATAGCATAACTTTCCTTACGCTTGCGTTTTCTGCTCTTATCACTTTTACTAATATTCTTTTGGGCTTTGCCAGCCTTCTTGGTTGCTTTTCCACTTGCTTTAGGAGGCATTTTTCACAATTTTAATTTTTAGTAGTTTACACTTCACAAACACTTTTAACACTGTTCACAAATTTTAAAATTCAACTCAATATGTACACATTATATACCTTTTTTGTGTGTACAATATACTGGTTTATTTACTTATTTTCGTGTGTAGATAATCAACCCCTAAACGTATTACTAGTAAGCAGAAAAAGTATAAATACTCGATTACTTGTGTTGAAATGATATTAGTTTTGTGTATTCAGTGCTAAAGTGAAGTGTTAACTAAAAATAATAAAGTGAAAAATGTCTGGTCGTGGTAAAGGTGGAAAAGTTAAGAGCAAGGCAAAGTCTCGTTCAAATCGTGCTGGTTTGCAATTTCCCGTCGGTCGTATACATCGTTTGTTACGTAAAGGCAATTATGCTGAACGTGTTGGTGCCGGTGCTCCAGTATATTTAGCTGCCGTTATGGAATATTTGGCTGCTGAAGTTCTTGAATTGGCTGGTAATGCTGCTCGTGACAACAAAAAGACCAGAATTATTCCCCGTCATTTGCAATTGGCTATTCGTAATGACGAAGAATTGAACAAATTATTATCTGGTGTAACAATTGCTCAAGGTGGTGTTTTGCCAAACATTCAAGCTGTACTTTTGCCCAAGAAAACAGAAAAGAAAGCCTAAATTAATCAAGACTAAAGAAATAACATCGAGAAAATATAATACAGACCATCGTATAACAAAAAAATACAACAATCCGTCCTTTTCAGGACGACAAATTCATTTTCAAAAAGAGAACAATTTTGTTTTGTAAATTACAATTTATTTAAAATATATACAAATAAATTTTAGTTATTTTAATATTTCCCTTTAATAATATACATGCAATACAGTTCTTTGTAATTCTCCTATTCTTTGAATATTACTTTTATTCTCAAAAATCGTTTAAATCTCAATCATCCCTACTCTTGTTTGTTTTGCTTTTACACAAACAACTGTAGCTACATCAAAAAATAACAATGTTGTTGTTACTGTTTCAATACGAATCTTTGTTTGTATGCCGATGATGGAATTGTTTTCGTGTACACATTTCGTTTTTCTCTACGTACGTACGTTTAGAAATTTGTTTTCTTTTTTGTATTGTTATATGCGTAACTGAAGCAAAACTAAGAAATTTTATGTTTATTATTTTCTTTGTCAAAACATTTATGCTTAAAATTGATTATAAAATAATAATAAAAATTATCTATTTTTTATTCTATTTAAAAGTATTTTTAATAGACATTTTATTAGACAAAAATATTAAAACTTTTTGAAATAAATTAAAAGTTTTTTCATTCAATAATTTTTTATTCTAAATTAATGTATATAAAACGACTGATTTCATTATAAATTTTGTGATTTTGTTCTTTGTATTATAAAAATATCATTATTTTGTAGTACTCAGTTAAAAAAAAAAAAAAAAAACCTTGAATTTTGAATAATTATATTCTTTAAATAAATATATTTCCTATTGGGTAGTTTATTTTACTTAATTTCTCGTTTGTCTTTTCTTTATATTTCTTATTCCTGTTTTCTTTTAATTTGCAAAAACATCTGTCTCATGATCATCCCTTTTACACAAACAAAATACATGAATTCTTATGTATATACACACATAAAACAAACGCTTAAACATTATGCATTGTTGTTGTTATTACTATTTCTGGTTTATGAAAGAATTCCTGTTTTTGTTTCTTTGAATTTGGTTTTGTTAGTATACAGACATATTTTTGATTCTTCTTGTTTGTTCATGTGTTTCGTTTTATGTATACTTTGCATTGTTACGAATACAGTACAGTCTGTATGATTTTTTATTATTTCATGATATTATGATCGTATATTAGAAATTAATAAATTTAAATTTTTATGACATTAAAATGCAAAACTAATTTATAAAAATTATTTAAAACGAATTTTTGAAAAATTTCTTATAAAAACATTTCTTAAAGCCGACGGCAAAATATATCGTTTTGCCGTCGGCAAAATTTAATTTTTTTTTTAAGGTTTTAGTGTAAAGAAATGCATAAATTATAAAGAAATGTGTGAAAAATGTTAATTTAGCAAAATAAATTGTAAACAAACGAAATTTTCTACACAAATATTGTATAAAAAACCAAAAATTATGATTATTTTAAGATATATTTGAATCATACTCAAATAAATAAAAAAAAATGTCAAAGTCAAATACTATATATGGTATAATTTTTCATAATTATCCTATTATTTTGGATTTAATAAACTAACGAATTTTTGAATAATATTTAGTAGTTTGTAATAAATAAAAATCTCTTTTAAAATACATTTTGTGGTCCTGAAAAGGACCGATTGTTTTAGTTTTCTATTAAAAATTGTCCGCAAAATATAAAAATATGATGAATGTTTAACCGCCGAAACCGTACAAAGTACGACCTTGTCTCTTCAATGCATAGACGACATCCATAGCGGTAACGGTTTTCCTCTTGGCGTGTTCAGTGTAGGTGACAGCATCACGGATAACATTTTCCAAAAAGACCTTCAAGACACCACGAGTTTCTTCGTAAATCAAACCAGAAATACGTTTTACACCACCACGACGAGCCAAACGTCTAATAGCTGGCTTGGTAATACCTTGGATATTATCACGCAACACTTTACGATGACGTTTAGCACCACCTTTTCCCAAGCCTTTTCCACCTTTACCACGACCAGTCATTTTTTTTAGATTATTTTTTCACTTAAAACACACTTCACAAATGATTCACAAGAACTAATAATTTCTTAGCGGTGATCACTGGTATTTATACTAAATTTCTGTTCTTGTTCGTTTAACAAATCAACCACCAATGTACAATACATGGCCACACACCCTTGTTTATTGCTTAGACAAATTTTCTATATAAACCGGGTATCTGAAGCGCAGCCAAAATATTCTTGTGTGAACAGTGTTTAAGTGTGTGTTAAAGAAAAAAAGTGACTAACTAAAGTGAAGTGAAAATGGCTCGTACTAAGCAAACTGCCCGTAAATCGACTGGTGGCAAAGCACCACGTAAACAATTGGCTACTAAGGCTGCACGTAAAAGTGCACCAGCCACTGGTGGTGTTAAGAAGCCACATCGTTATCGTCCCGGTACTGTAGCTTTGCGTGAAATTCGTCGTTATCAGAAGAGTACTGAATTGTTGATTCGTAAATTGCCATTCCAACGTTTGGTTCGTGAAATTGCTCAAGATTTCAAAACTGATTTACGTTTCCAGAGTTCTGCTGTTATGGCTTTGCAAGAAGCCAGTGAAGCATATTTGGTTGGTCTTTTCGAAGATACAAATTTGTGTGCCATTCATGCAAAACGTGTCACAATTATGCCGAAAGATATTCAATTGGCCAGACGTATTCGTGGTGAACGTGCTTAAGAAAGAAAATAGAGATGATGAATTGTAACAAAAAAATCGGTCCTTTTCAGGACCACTGAATAAAATTTAAAAAGAGATAGTGCAATTTTTGATATGAAAATTTACTACCATAGGTTAAAATTTTTTTTTTTTTTCTTATTTATGTAAACAATGCTGAATCGGTTCTTTTAAGGGCCAATAAACATATTTATAAAGAGTATTTTATTTTTTGTTGAAACATTATTTTGCCGACGGCATAACATGATATTTTCCCGTCGGCATAACAATTAATTTTGCCGTCGGCTTTTTTCATTTGACTTTTTAATAGAAATTATGGATTTTAATACAAATAATATGAATATTATGAAATAATAGTTTAATTTTTTTCTACTTTTAATATAAACAAAGAAATTAATAATATATTTCCATTAAAAAAGAATTTTTTGAAAAAAAAATAAATTTATTTTGTTTAACACTTCATATGACATTGAAAATAATTTCACAAAAATTGTTTTAAGATGTGTTGAAGAAATTTAGAAAATGAGAGACTAAATATCAAAATTAGAGTTTTTTAATCGAAAATTTAAAAAACTTGTATTTTCCTTAAAAATGTTTTTAAATTTAGAGTAATTTTTGTTTTCATATTTAACAAAAATTTTTATAAAATTACTTTAGAAAGATATTTATGATATTATAAGGATTTATTGCGAAAAATTTCATTAAATATTTTTTTATATTTGCTTAAATTTGTGGACCAAAATAGAAAAAATGTAAACAGTAAATATTTAAAGTGACAAAATAAGAAAAATACTTAAGAAAAACTTTTATGAAATTATTTTAGAAAAATGTCATAAATATTATTTGGATATGTGGCTAAAATTTTTTATTATTTTTGATATTTGATTAAATTTATGAAAAAATGTAAACAATGCAAATTCACAGTGGCAAAACAAGAAAAATCACCAAGTAATACAGCAAATTTAAAAATAATTTTCAAAAATCTAAAAATTAAAATTATGAGAATTTTTTTAATCAATCATTTAAAAAACATTTGTAATATTCTTATAAAATCAACTTGGTTATAAAATTTCATAAAAATGTAACAATTTATTGACATTTTATTTACATTTTATGGTAAATGTATCAAAAACTTATCACAAAAGTGATGATAAATATTGTTTGACAAAAACAATATGAATAATTTTTAATAAAATGCAATCTAGAAAACCCATACTATCAAGAATAGCAATAAATTTATAAAATTTTTATTAAAAATTAAAGAAAAATAAGAAAAAAGTAGAAAACTTTTGTTGAATTTTACTCATGCTCTCACTAAAAATTTAACAAATTATAGCTATCGACTACTATTAACTTCTCATTATAACAAAGTACCTTAAAATTTCGTGTGTGCACACAATCGAAAAGTTATACTACCATATACAAGTGTGTTTAAAAAAGTGAAAAAATAAAATAAACAAATACAAAATGTCGGATACCGCTGTTGTTGAAAATACTGCCTCTCCTGTTGCTGCCGCTCCAGCTGCTGAGAAAAAGGCTAAAAAAACTACTACTCCCAAGGCAAAGAAACCATCTACTGTGCCATCTCATCCTCCAACTCAACAAATGGTTGATGCTGCTATTAAAACTTTAAAGGAACGTGGTGGTTCATCTCTTTCTGCTATTAAAAAATATATTACCAGTACTTATAAGGTAGATGCTCAAAAATTATCGCCTTTCATAAAGAAATATTTAAAAAGTGCCGTAGATAGTGGAAAATTAATTCAACCAAAAGGTAAGGGTGCTGCTGGTTCATTCAAATTGTCAGCAGCTGCCTCCAAAGAGCCAAAAGAAAAGAAGAAACCCGCCGCTGAAAAGAAAAAGGTAGCTGCTGCTAGTGAAAAAAAGAAGAAAACAGCAGTCGCTACTAAAAAGAAACCCGCTGCTGCGCCTGCAAAGAAACCATCTGCAGCCAAAAAGACTGCTGAAAAGAAAAATACAGAAAAATCCAAGGCAAAAACTGCTAAAAAGACAGGTACAGTTAAAGCAAAACCCGCCAAAAAGGCACCAGCAACTAAAACAAAAGCGCCCAAAGCAAAAACCGCAGCTGCAGCCAAACCCAAAAAAGCAACATCGCCAGCAAAGAAACCAGCTGCCAAAAAGGCCGCAGTCAAAAAGTAAATCTAATTTATTTTTAATATTGCAAAAAGTACTATTATCTAAAACAGCCCTTTTCAGGGCTACAAATTTTTTCAACAAAAGAGATTAAATTACAAATTCAAAACTTGTATATTATTAAAATATTTCACAAAATAAATAAAATAGTAAGAATAATCGCTATGAAAAGGGACAAAAATACACATATAGGTAGGAGAAAATGTTTATTTACAATGAAAATTTCACATAAGCCGTCGGTAAAACACAAACTAATAAAATAAAACTCATTTAATCTCAATTGACTAAGTAAACAATAGGTAATGGAATCATAAAATAATATTTAATGAGGTAATGGAATCATAAAATAATATTTAATGAGTTGGGTTATTTTAAGAGTAAAGTAAAATGAAAATTCTTTTTAAACTATTGGAAAATTAGAAAAATCAAAACAAAGAACATTTTTTCATATTCAAATGAAATAATTGACAAAATAATTCCCAAAAATTATTTTGTTTGAATAAACAATACGAATAAAATGAATAAATCGTTAATTTTTTATATTTTCAAAAATAAAAACTGTTAAAATTTCATAATTAACGAATAATTTAACTTATTTAAAAAAATTAGTGTAGATAACACTCTTGGTCTAAAATAGTAAAAACACATACCATTTTTATTTAAATTGTCAAATTCACAAACCAACATCGATTGGTTTGTGAATTTGATAAATAAGATCAAATTTTGTCAGTTATAAAATTTGAAAGCAAGTTTGAAATTAAATATTTTTTCGTTCGTTTTATTAAATAAAAATAATGACAAATTTGACAATAATCACATTTTTAGTGTATTTTAATTGTAATTACAATGAAAATTTCACATAAGCCGTCGGTAAAACACAAACTAATAAAATAAAACTCAGTAGACTAAGTAAACAGTAGGTAATGGAATCGTAAAAAAAAAACTATTTAATGAGTTGGATTTTGTACAAATATTAAAAGTAAAAGAAAATTTCTTCTTAAACTATTGGTAAGTAAGAAAAATCAAAACAAAAACATTTTTACATATTCAAATGAAATAATTTACCTAATACAATAAGAATTAAATGAAATAAATATAAAATTTTGATTTTGTATAGAAAATTTGTTCATTATTCATTTTCTTCAGAATAGGATTGATAATTTTAGTATTTTTTATGAATTAAATCGTTAATTTTAAATATTTTCAAAAAAAAAAAAAAACTGTTTAAATTTCATAAGTTGTAACAACTTCACCTAATTTAAAAATTAAGTATCGATAACACCCTTGCTCTAAAATAGTAAAAATTCATACCATTTTTATTAAAATTGTCAAATTCACAAACCAACACAGTTTGGTTTGTGAATTTAATAAATAAAATCAAATTTTGTCAGTTATAAAATTTGAAAGCAAATTTGAAATAAAATACTGTTTCGTTCGTTTTATTAAATAAAAATAATGAAAAATTTGTCAATAATCACATTTTTTTTAATTATGTAATGAAAAATTATATGTTTTAAACAATAAATGACTCTTTTTAAATGTATTTTGTGGCCTTGAAAATGGCCTTTTGTAATAATAAAAAAAGAATCAAACGGAGATAAAAGTAAATTTACTTGGAACATATGAAAATTTTTACAATAATCACAATTTTTATTATGTAATAAAAAATATATATGTTTTAAACAATAAATAACTCTTTTTAAATGTATTTTGTGGCCCTGAAAAGGGCCTTTTGTAATAGGAAAAAGAATTAAACGGCGAATTTAAGTAAATTAAATTTACTTGGAACTGGTATATTTGGTGACAGCCTTGGTACCCTCACTGACGGCATGCTTAGCCAATTCACCGGGCAACAATAGACGAACGGCAGTTTGAATTTCCCGACTGGTGATGGTCGAACGTTTATTGTATTGAGCCAAACGAGATGCTTCAGCGGCAATACGTTCAAAAATATCATTAACAAAACTGTTCATGATACTCATGGCCTTTGATGAAATACCAGTATCAGGATGTACTTGCTTCAATACTTTGTAAATGTAGATAGCATAACTTTCCTTACGCTTGCGTTTTCTGCTCTTATCACTTTTACTAATATTCTTTTGGGCTTTGCCAGCCTTCTTGGTTGCTTTTCCACTTGCTTTAGGAGGCATTTTTCACAATTTTAATTTTTAGTAGTTTACACTTCACAAACACTTTTAACACTGTTCACAAATTTTAAAATTCAACTCAATATG